TGAGAGAACATGCTCCAATAAAGAGACAACGTCATATTTGATGATAAAGAGAAGTCAGGGGGCCTGGGCAAGGATGATAAAGTTGCTCGTAAGCATGATGGCCGGTGGTCGAAACTAGCAACGGAACGGCAGCCAATGGAAGGATCACGGCAAAATGAACGGCCACCGTGGAGACGGAGCGATGGAATCAGTTCATATGCAGGAGATGGCTGGATTGTAGCATCGCGAGACCGAGATAGATTATGACGGCATCAGGGATATATTAACCTTGCAGTGGACAGATAGCAACTATATTCTTGCTTCTTTCGGTAAAGTCACGTAAAAGGGAAATAATAAAAATATCAAATAATAAAAATATAAAACAATAAAATTCTCACGACGTTTTGACTGCAACACAAGCAATCATCATTCGGTGTGAAATCCACAGCAAGAAAATGTTCTTGCTCTGAGAATGTTGTTTTATATTTTTATTATTTTATTATTTCGCTTCTACGTGACTTTACCAAAAGAACCTAAAATAGGAATCCCTGCAGTCACGAAAGCTTTAAATCAAAGATAGCAACTAATTCTAGTGATTTTACACTGCTTTAAATAAGCTGAAGTATATTGCATCGTTTGACTTCCATAAAAAAAAGAACAGTAAAACGTGTTTTTCATATTGATTTAGTAGACGCAGAGAAGAAGTCATCTGAAACCCCAAGCGGCATGTCGAATAAGTGGAAAGGCATGAAAAGGAATGAGAATGCCAAACAAAGCACGCCAGAATGTGCAAGATTTCTGTGAAAACATTTGGTCAAAGAATGAGGAAAGAAATTAAAGAATAAGGCATAAAAAACGACAGGAGGTGTCATAACAAGCATTTGTGAGCATTAAAGCGGCATAAAGGAAGTTGATGATGATACGTAAATAAATACAATAGATATAGTAGCCCTTGGAGAAAAATCTAGAACCAGAACGTGGAGTAGAGACAGACAGATTGGTCAAGCAATTAATAGAATCTAGATTTGAAATTTTCGTGACTGCAGGGATCCATACTCTTTGGTTCTTTCGCTAAAGTCACGTAGGTAGGACAACCACCTGATGACGCTTGTGTTGCGCCCGAAACGTCGTGATTTAATTTATTTTATTTTATACCTACGTGACTTTACCGAACGAACCAAAGCGTAATTAACAGAATTTAACAGGTGACATTTCGGGAATTAGCGAGCCCAAACCTCGTCGACCTCTCTATGTGCTATGAAGAAGGGCCATTGCCAAAACGTCACCTGTTATAGAGTTTACTTTTAAGGCCTCAGTGTTTTTAACACATGTGTTGAGTTGTTTTGTGTTTTGTTTATTGTTTATGGTTGTGCACCACTGCCACTACAGTGTCAACACATGTACATTTTTGTGATCATACACTACAAGAAACGACTAATTCGTTTCTGATCCTGGAAATCTCATACCGGAAGAAGTAATCACTGACCCAACAAAATTATATGGAGAGAAATAATATTATCGACCAGAACAGACAGAATAATTGTGAACGTCACTGAAGAAGCTGTCGCAACAAAATGATCAGGCTTATTTACAAGATTTTGAAACAGAGAAAAACTATCCCAACCGTGGAACGTTGCCACAGTCATTCCAGTTTTCAAACAGGGAGACAAATCTGAATTTTAAGAAATTACAGACCCATTCGCCTCTTGTCACACGTACATAAGCTGTTCACGAGCATAATGGAGAATCAAACATTGACCGATCAATTGGGGAACCAACCAGCCAGAAGTGCAAGTTGGTTTAATCAATACTTTCTGCGTTGAACTTCTTTCGCACCGTACGTAGCCAACCATGAACATCAGAGGTGCTTTCTCTACCATTGATTACATACGTACACATCAATGAGATCCTTTAAGTGACAGGTGAATATCAAGTACCACTAAGGTCTGGCTTTTGTTGACTAGAAACAGAAAAAACCAAGGCCGAAATATAAACAACGTGGAAATTATCAAAACCATTCATAACGATGGCTGTGTAGACAAAATAACAAAGATACAAGTTAGTGGAGGATTCGTGTAAGGAGTTGTGTTCTCACCAAGAATATTCAGGGTCACACTGAGGTTGTTTTCTAAAGAAAGGGATTGAAGAAAGAAAGCCATAAACAAACATTTGGCGAGACTATGAACCGTCTAATAAGGTTGCAAAAACGGTGCTAAATATACATTTGTGTACAAATTTGCTAAACAAGTTTGCTGAACCGAAACTAAATAACTTTGGAGGGACACCACTATAACATCATCACCATCATCACCGGCGATCCCTCAATTCGAGAATGAGCTCTGCCAGAGGTTTAAATATGGGTTCCTGAGATGACTCAGGTGTCCGATCCTGGAAACACACGTTGCCTCGTGGGTCGGATCCCCGCTGCTGTCAGGGTCATCTCCTTCATTCTGTTCATTCTCTACTCTCTTCCTTCTCTCTCTTCTTTCCCTTCTCTCTTCATCCTCTCTCTCTTTTTTTTACGATCAGTGGAAACGAGAATATGCTCGGTGTAGTCGGCACTTTGCTTCGTTCATCATTTCGTAATTTTTTTTTACTTTGCTTTATGTAAACCCCCACCTCTCGCTCACTCTCTCGCTCACTCTCTCGCTCACTCTCTCGCTCACTCTCTCGCTCGCTCTCTCGCTCACTCTCTCGCTCGCTCTCTCTCGCCTCTCTCTCTCTCTCTTTGAGCAGCTTCGAGGGCAAAGTAATTCTCCTCGAAGCGACCCATATGCCTGCTGGAGGATGTTGTCGCCGTCATGGCCGGTTGATGGAACTCTCCACAGCTTGCGATGTCCCGCGTCGGTTCTCCCGAGATGCGAGCTCTGAGTGTGTCTCTGTGGGTGGCGGGGCGGGCGGGATTCCCGACTTTGAACGGACAACAAACTGGTGACATAGAGAGGCGAGTGGGTGAGTGGCAGTTGGATGGAGTGCCTTTGAATTATTCAACGTGACAGTGGAGGATGGTGGCATCACAGGACTGCGAGGACTTTAGTGATGCCATGACCTTCACACCCTGCAGTGGACAGACATTGCCTCACGTTGACAATCGTCATATCGTGCGTCTTACTCTTAACATTAAACCCGTCTCGTCCGATCGCAATCTGATCACCCTTTTGGAATCCAGGGGACTTTTCGTGGGGGTGAGTGGGTGTGAGTAGGTTCGGGGTGGGGGGGCGAGTCGGGGTGGCCAAACTTTCCTGACGGCTCTACCCCCGAGGATGTTGGGGGTGGTAAAAGGTGGGGGTGGGACGGTGTTAGCTGTCCCCCTCCCAACCGCCTAAGCCCCACTTATGCCCATGCCAAGCGCACAACAGCCAAACCTCAGCCCCAAGCCTCTCCCATGAGATCGCCGGCCGGCCAGGAGCTTCTAATTGCTGCCTCGTGACCACTGGCACTTTCACTTGGAGGGTGTGAGAGCGGTTGTGACATTGACTTTGGAACTTGAGGTTCCACTCAAATGACCCCTCCTAACAGGGCGACTTAACACGACCGCACCCATCGTTCAAGTGAGCGCGTGTAGCGCCCCCCCCCCCCCCCGCTTGCTACATTATGGATTTATACGCAGCCCCGTGACATTTGCGTGAGTCAAAATACGATCCATGATGTTACCCGGCAGCAACGATGACTGATTCCCACCGAGACCACGCCTCGGTCGTGTGTATCGCACGCCAACGTTTTATTTGTGTTAATTCGAAACGCGACGTGGATGTAAAATGAAATGGCACGGATAATAAGCACCTCTGCCACCACAGAGAGCCAAATCTGCAGCTGCCTCTTCACGCATAAATCGAACTGCATTTGTCAGAAATAAATTAATCGTTTTTAGGCATACAGCCAATCCACTGCTCAATGAAAGCCACCACATGCCGTGCGGGTCGTGGGGGTCATGTGACCATACTTCACCACGCTGGTCCGTGCTGGTCTGTGAAGGCAGGACGCATGCACGTGGGAGAATAGAAGTGCAACACAAAGGTGAACGCTGATGCGCTGCCCTCCGCTGCTCACAACATGTCACCGCCAAAGCCGAGTGCTTTGATGGGTGACCGTCCAAGCACTACCCAGGCTCAACTCTGCTTTACTTTCGAGATCTGGCAAGATCGCGAGTGCATTCCTGTTGATTTAGTCACGGCCATTAATAATAATAATAACGCTGCAATTTTATTTCCAAGATGTAATGCTCCAAGCTTGTGCAGCAACATATCTTGGGGTAGGTCCCAACGTCTGCGATGTCTGACCAGCGTGGGGAAGAATGATCAAATCGCCCACGTGACCGACATAGCCGTGGCGAGGCCCTTCGTCCCGCAGTGGATTTGGCAAAAAGGATGAACGCGCGCGATTCACATAAAACTGTTGTCGTGTGAAGCGGGCCCGGGAATCCAGCGGTGATCGTTCCCCATTGTTGCGTTGTGCCGTAACGCGACAGCGTGAGAACGAAAGCAGATGTTACTCGGACAATGATAGCAATGTGCGCGTCTCTCGGGCGATGCCGGCGCTGGGGGCGGCGGGGTGGAGAGAGTGGGATTATGTCTCCACTGCTACGCGGCTCAGAGCAAGCAGCTTGCACCGTGCCGGAGCTTGCGCTGTCACCGACGGGCAGACAATGCTCCCGGCTGCTCCGGGAGCCAGCGCCATCAAACCTGGACGAGCGAGACTTGATTCTTGGTGGCCTTCTCGATGCGAGATTTGCCCGATGGCCGATCGATCATCTGCGAATCATAGTCTGTACACAATGACCCGAGCATCTCACAATGGCAACATTTGTCAGATGCTAAGCACTGCACCACCTCTCCCACACATTCACACGACTCACTCATCATAAACATAAGTATATTTTATTTTCCTTTGCTTTGTGATGAAATGGATTTTCAACTTAGAGATGTATACAGCTCTCTTGTGTTTATGTGTTAGGGTGAGGGTGCAGTTGTTAGCGCACTGCATTATACACCCAGGGAGTTTAATTCCCAGCCATGTCTGAACTTGCCCTGTCCTCCCCCCACCCTTTATAAACCCGTACTGACCAGTGTGGTGAAGTATGGTCAAATAACCCCCATGGCCAAAATGATATGAGCAATCTTTCCATAATTGGATTGCCAAATGCTTGTAGACTCTTATTATTCTATAATACTGTGTGCATAATGTGGTTTGCTACGTACGGTACGAAAGAAGTTCAACATACATACATTTATCTGCTGGTGTGTACATTAGCTTAACTATTTGAGACATTCACAAATTAATTACTGTAAACTGGATCCTTCCCCACCCACTTCTATATAAAAAAATATATAATATTCATTTAAATCTAATAAAAAAAACAATGTCACAGTTGCCAAAAATACGTTGCCCGGTGGCCGGGTAGCTCAGGGGTCAGAGGTCAGAGCGCTGCGTGGCACCGCTGAGATCCAGGCCTCGATACTGGGTGCCAGCTGCCCCTTCATGAAGGCGGCCTCTCAAGTGCCACGAGTTGATCGCCTCAAACTGGTGAGCGGTGACTGCAACAGAAAGCCACGTTTCATAGGTAGAAGTGTTAAAAAAAAAGAGAAACTGGCCAAACATCCAAATACTGTTTATATTTTGAAGATGAATGCGTATATTATCAAATAATGAACAAAATAATATGAAAAAAGTATATTTAATGTGCTATCTTTAAACAAAAGTCATCAGTACAACTGTGGTCCTTATTGATAGCAGAGATATCTCATGAGCAGTGGACCTTCAGATCTCTCTGGTGTGAAGAAGGAAGCGTCACCTGTAATTGTTTTTCTTCATAGCGCAGTGTAATTGACAAATCTTTTGAGTTTTCTTGTTGTTTGTGCTTGTCCACCACTGACAATGCGGTCAAAGATATTTTTTGTCTGTTTGTCTCTAACGCCAGTGGCGTACTCGAGGAACTAAAACCAAAACTTTCAGAGAACGATTTACGGAGATTTACGGCATTGCCATTTGCGTCGGACGCTCGTGTTATTTCCATGTCGTGGTTTCGATAAAAGCTTGCTTCAAATCTTGAGGAAGTGATGCATACCTGCCTTGTGACCGAGGAGGGATTTTTCCAGTCGTACTGCACGGTGACATTGCGATGTCCTGTCAGCCTGCCGGTACAAGGAAGTGAGCAGCGTTCTGCAGGGGTGTGAATGCCTCGCAGCAACACGTGCAGGATTTTAGTCAAGCGAGCAGGAGAGTCGGGGACATTCGTCAATTTCTGGGAAATGTATTTTAAACATTTTTTTAAACATTAAACCTGATTTTTCTGGCGGGTAAAGGAGCGATGTCGTACCGGTTAGTCCACTGTGTCCTGAACCCAGTCACCTGAGTTTGAATTATTTTTTATATTTTTAAAATTATTTTTACATCGATTATTTTTATATTGATGTTGGAAAAAAGGCGACCCATGAATAGAACATCAACTCTAACCCTTTTGAAGACATCTTCATGATATACAGGGACTGCTCTACTTACAAACGAGTTAGGTTCCAGTGGTCTGTTCGTAAGTCGATTTGTTTGTAAATCCAACTTTACTACTGTCGATTCCAAACGTGTTGTACGGTATCTACACTAAACACGGGAAATTACTTTAAAAGTTGTATAATCTCCTGTAGATGTAGATGCCACTGGTTCTTTATGTTCTGCCGATGTAGATGCCACCACCGCCATCTATTGCGCAGCGGTTGAACCGACGACTCTCAGTCCGAACAGGCAACTGGACATACGGACAGGTTTGTTTGTATCTCTGAAAGTTCATAAGTTGAATGTTCGTAAGAAGGAGTCCCTGTTTAACACATTTTTGGGGGATACCTCGCTGGCAATGGTGCACAAGCACACACAACAGCAAAAAATCTCAACACATTCGATCTTAAAGAGAAATCCTTTGCAACAAAGACGATGTACCTTGAAGAAGGGCCACTGCTCTAAATGTCTGCCTATCGTGTACGTTTGATTTTGTAAGGCCACAGTGTTATTGACGGATGTGTTGATGTATTGTTGTTGTTATTATGTATGTAGGCACGTCCGCAATGTTCGCGCTTTCAAAGGTGGATGGGTTCCACAGCGTCGACCGATCGGACTCGCGTAAGAATGGGTCACGCACTCGCCCCGAGATGGAGGTGCGGGATCCACAGTCAATAACGCTGCTGCTGCTGCAGATCGCTGCTGCTGCTGCAGATCGCTGCTGCAGCTGCAGATCGCTGCTGCTGCTGCAGATCGCTGCTGCTGCTGCAGATCGCTGCTGCTGCAGATCGCTGCTGCTGCTGCAGATCGCTGCTGCTGCTGCAGATCGCTGCTACTGCAGCTCGCTGCTGCTGCTGCAGCTCGCTGCTGCTGCTGCTTGCTGCTGCTTCTGCAGCTCACTGCTGCTCGCTGCTGCTGCAGCTGCTGCTGTTGCTCGCTGCTGCTGTAGCTGCTGTTGCTGCTGCAGCTGGCTGCTGCTGCTGCTGTGGCTGCAGCTCGCTGCTGCTGCAGCTGCTGCTGTTGCTGCTGCTGCTGCAGCTGCTGCTGTGGCTGCAGCTCGCTGCTGCTGTTGCTGCTGCTGCATGTTTCTGCTGCTGTGGCTGCAGCTCGCTGTTGTTGCTGCTGTTGCTGCTGCTGCTGCAGCTGGCTGCTGCTGCTGCTCGCTGCTCAGAGGCCAGAGCTCTGGGCCAGCACCACTGAGATGCTGGGTTTCTGCCACCAGTGGTTTAACTGGGCCCTCGAGTCTAATCAGTTGATAGCCTCAGCCCAGAAACCAATTACCGTATAATTGTATATACACATAGTAAAACATTCCCAAAAAAATTGGTATTGTACTTAACTTGGTTAAATTCCAGCTGCTCGGTGAGAATTAAAACCATGCATTTGACTGCTGTGCAATGTACAGTCCTCTGTGTCGGTGTGTATTGGAAAATGCAGCAACCCCCTCGTGTGGATAAAAGAGGTCACTTGGAAGGGATTCAGATGTAGTTCTGTGACATCACCTTCTGCGGTTGGGCCGTTGTCGAACACACGCGGGGGGGGGGGGGGGGCTGGGGATTCACCGCTCTGCGGGAGTTCCGAATGGACACTGTGTCCCGCCGCGTGATGCCAAGAGCGCAGTTGGATGAAGGCAGAGGATCGATTAAAATTAAAGAGCGTTCTAATCACACTGTGGCGCCAATGCTGTGCAATGAACATTCCAATGTCCTCCGCGTTCTTGTCCCATAACCCCAACTTAACTCACTGCACAGACCCCGATTCCTTCATGTCAAGTTAACTCCCCAGGAGAGAGTTTTTTTTTCTTTCTTTCCGCGCACGCAACTAATGGAGCCTAACCCAACACCGGCTAAATTATGAAGCCGGGGTCACATTGGCGCCCGCTTTAGCCCCTGAGCTCGGCTGCTCATGTTGAGTCTCACAGGGGTGACAGAATGGGTTGGTTTTTTTTTGGAGGCTAAACAATAACGCACTGTTGCCTTGAAAACACCCCAAGTGCCGTTACGAAGCACCTGCTTCACTCGAGCAAGTGCCCCCGGGAAAGGCGTTGCATCATGGAAAGTAACTTTTCGTGGAAAAAAGAGAACGTCGGACCCGCGTCACCCGAAGTCGCGAGATTACGCGCGGAGATACATTTCTCGGCAGGTAACAAAACTGAAATACGACGTTTCGGGTGCAACACAAGCGTCCGTCATCAACATACGTACATTTATCTGCTATAACCTTTTTAACAGTCTGCCTCAGCAGCAGACCACGCTTTCCCACCTGATGACGGACGCTTGTGTTGCGCCCGAAACGTCGTGATTTATTTTATTTTATGCCTACGTGACTTTACCGAAAGAACCAAAGAGTAAGGTAATAAAAACTAGGGGAATCGGCTCGGCCCGGAGAGTCGGTGGTCACAGAGCGACCTCAGACGCTTCAATATTTCCTCTATAACGGCTCGTTGATGAGCTAAACGCCCCGAAGTGAATGTTGTCGAACCTGCCGAACGCTGCCCACGTGGAGCCAAACCGTTTGCATGGCCGCAGCGTCCACGTGGCCTGCGTAGAGGGACAGAGCGGGGGGAGAGGTGGGCGTTTGGACGTGTGGAAACCTCTTGCTAGCACGCGTGGCATTTGACACCGGTGGGCAGTCACCGCCGTCACACGACACCAGGGTGGCACGAGAACCAGCGTCACGTGACGAGGGTGGCACTGGAACCAGCGTCACGTGACGAGAGTGGCACTGGAACCAGCGTCACGTGACGAGAGTGGCACTGGAACCAGCGTCACGTGACGAGAGTGGCACTGGAACCAGCGTCACGTGACGAGAGTGGCACTAGAACCAGCGTCACGTGACGAGAGTGGCACTGGAACCAGCGTCACGTGACGAGAGTGGCACTGGAACCAGCGTCACGTGACACGAGAGTGACATTGGTGTTGCTAAGCGAGGAGGTGATTGGTTGCTTGTTGCCGTCTACAGCGTCCCCTCGTTATTCGCGAGGGGTGCGTCCCAGAGGTGCTCGTCAACGGCAAATTTCGCGGATAATGACATTGGATATCGTACGCGCAACGTCTGTGGATGCTTTTGAAAGCTTTGAGACGTTATCTCTCATTGTCTCTCTCGACTCTTTGTATTTCATCACTTGATCTCATCACATTCTCAACGTCGCATTCTCTCTCGCCACTTTCTTTCTCACTCTCTGCCTCTCGATGCAGTCGTGCCGAGTTCCAGATGCGGTTCGCGAACAGCCCAAATCATGGATAGCAAGTTCGTGAATAGCGTGGGGATACTGTACAGTTCTTTGTCAATCCACAGCTTGATGATGGTGGTGGTGGTGGTGAAGATGATGATGATTAAAGCCTCCCTATGCTTCTCGGCCATGAGGGTCGTTTTACCATACTTCACCGCGCTCGTCAGCTTGGTTTGGCAAACAGGGAGGGGGGTGCTGGTCCGGGAGCTGATCAGATTTCAGGCGCCACTGACATTATCCGTGGCTGGAAGCAAGCTCTGGTCGCTTGACACTTCAGGCAGTGTGCTAACAATTTAGCACCGCGCTCCACCTAATAGTGATTTTTTTTTTCAAACTTGCAGTATTTTTAATAATTCGCTTTTTTCATGTGTGTTCTTTTTTTAATGGTATTCTCTCCGTTGTTATTTTGTTTACACCTTGGAATCTGTTCGATATTTTTGGTGACCCAAGACCCGGTTCAGGTATCGGAACTCACGCGGTCGGACTCGTAGCGTAGCGCGCTAACCACCGGGTCAGCGCTCCACCACACTCAACCGCTGTGCCTGGGGGGAAACAATTATCTGCGTCCATCTGTACATACGTGTGAGGCTAACTCACACCCGTGTTCAGACAAATACACAACATATCCACTATAACAACAAAATGTGGCGCGCGGCTTCCCAATACCACTGTCCCTCATCTGTACAGCTTTGGATAAAGGATAGGCAATGAAATACAGAGCAAAGACTTGCAGGGGTATTGGAGGTATAGGCGGGCATGGACAGTTACACCACTGGTGCACAAATACTGCACTGGATGTGAGGGGTGGTTAATTGATCAGAGCGGGTATGTGACAGTCGCACTTAATGACGTCTCACTCTGATTACAAAAAAAAAAACACACAGCCAGTTAATAAAATAAACAAAAAGTAACGTCATGCCATGTACACCAGTGCAGTCTGCGCGCATGAGATCGATCAACTGTTTGGCTCGCGCACAATATGTGCGCGCGTCCGTTTGCGCGTTCGTTTGCAACGGTTTCCACGTTCGGTTTGGCTCTGTATCCCCCACTGCGTAGGTTTGCGCTGTGCAGCTCTCTGGCGTGTTACGCGCGTTGCTCGGCATAAATGTTGGCTGCAGTAGAAAGCAGCAACTGTCGCGGCAGCAGCAGCAACCGGCATCGCGATTTAATCGGTGGAAGAAAGCAAGATGCTCAATTCAGTTGCCGGTGGAAGCTCCGAGTGCGTGGAGCGAAACGTCGGACATCGAGCTGAACAAAGTGCGGTACGACCCGAAAACGCATATGGAGCGCTATATAGCTCGGATTCAGAAATTATCTTCCTGAAGAAGCTCCGGGCACAAGGAGTAAACATTGGAGGCTGTACGGAACAATTCTGGGTAAGGGTTGCCACCTCTCCTGCATTGCCAGGATCATCATCTTATTGAGGTTTGCTGTGAGTTTAACACATAGGCTTTCGCGACCAATATCATCCAAAACACAAATCTGGCCGTCGCCTGATGAAGCTTGTTGTAGTTACTGGCGAAACGTCGTACTCGGAGTGTAAATGTTGTGGCTTGGCTCTCCAATACACCGGTGTGCTGTACTAGTGACGAATTGGCACGTTCTGTTTACGTGACGAACCTGACTAATTGGCTGTGTCGGGTGGTGGCGGGTTTAACGACACATTTATATATTTACGCGATCTAACGCCCAAAAACATGTATTATGGAGGTTTCCTGTCCTGAAAAAGATTTTGTCTTCGCAAAGCATGGAACACTAAAAGTAGCAATTCTTGTCAGTTATTCCCAGGATATGTCCTAGCATTTTGTATTACATCCCAGTGATGGACACCCTACATGCAATTGCATTCATCAACACACAAAGGCACGCATTGCATGTACGCAAGCTCTCGGCCTTATCCAGACCACGAGCTCAACATAACTGAATGTGTGGCCGTATTACAGTTCAGACCACCAACTCAACGCGTTAAGAAAATGTGGCTCACCCCAAAAAGCAGCAGCGAAGCGAAGACGCAACTTATCGTGTCGGCGTCGTTCTCACTTGGACTCATCAGTGCGCACAGTTACAGTAATCTGCGTTCACTGTTGCCATGTGCCTCTGTGAGCCCTACATGCGGTCGAGCGCGAAAACACACAGGAGTTGATTTCCCATGAAAGAGAATTGAGCCTCCCTCGCCCCCCAATGGGTTTGGCTTGCCAGCTTGTGTTTGTTAAATGTGGTGGGCATGTGCCAGGCTCCGGCGGGTCTGTCCACAGAGTAGCGCCTGCTCACCCCTCCCTCCCTCCCCTCCCTCGCTCGCGTTGTTGGCCCAGGTTGTCTGCTCCACGCCGACGGCCAGCAACTCCTTTGTGCGTCCCAAGTTTCAGTGGTACGAATAATAAAATATATAAATGGCTTTATTTTAAATCAAATTAGGGATTAAATTTGTGGCTTCAGCAGCCAAAGTTACAGAGCCAGGCTCTAAATAAATACATTATTAGTTTCTAGTGCGGCAGTGGGCAGCATGAGAGAGCGAGATCATAACAAAGTGATTTTGAGCAAGTTACTTATTTTATCCTTATTTATGTATTATTATATTTGTTTACCCAGGGAAGCCTCACTTCGTGTCGAGATAAATTCACAAGATGGTCCTGCAAGGTGTTCGCAGGAGGGGGTGATGTTGCAATGTTTAACCCTAATTGAGTAGCATGCACGTATTTGTTTGTATTTGGATGCTTGACCGATACCAGTTACGTTGATTTAGAAAAAAAAAATTGGGGGGGGGGGGGGGTTATGGGAATAGGTAGGAGAACCCAGAGGAAATCCATGTAGAACGAGTGGCTAACACACAAACTCCATGCAGAAAGGCACCCGAGTGGAGAATCAAACTCAGGCCTTCTTTCTGCGAGAGGCAAAGGTCACCACTGCACCACACCGATGCCTTCTCATCCATGGTACTTAATGACTGCTTAGCTTTGCGATTCGTCACTTCGCACAGGAATCCCACGCATGAGAAGACCGTTTAAGTTGTATTTTATTTTTATTATCCAGCAGCGTTAATGTAGCTCAACAATAACAACAACTAAGAAACCTCGTTGAAATCACTTGTAACGTTTTGTTAGAATCTAAAACAGGGCTGTAACAATTCAACACCCCCCCCCCCCCCACCACATCCAACAATTAAATTAATACAATTAATTATTGTGATTCAGCATCACGGTTCGATTCAAGAACTCGGTTCTCTGCTTTTAACATCGTGGTGGCTGCAGAGACCTCTCGTGCTGAACTCACTAGCGCACAACCGCATGCGGATGGAAGTACGTCGATGTTGACACACGCGTATCGTGAACCCTGCTGTGAATCAATGACTCGTTACGCCCACAATACTCTACTTAAGACCCAAACAGGGGGACTTCTTCACAACTTTGGCAAATCGCCTGAAGAAGCTGGTTGCAATCACCAGCGGAACGTCACGATGCTCAAATTGTCAATGCTCTGGGTTTTCTCTCCACCACACCGGTGTGCGGAAGTAGTAACGAATTGGCACGTTTTGTTCACGCGACAAACCTCACTAATTGGCCGTGTCGGGTGGTGGCGGGTTAACGACACTTTTATATTCACGCGATGTAGCCCAAAAAAAAAAACCTTTCCTGTTGATAATATTGCTCGCGAAAGGCTGCGCGTTGAACTGAGATAATTCCACAGAGTCATCATATGTTATACACTGAGCCATCTTGAGAAAACGAAGCTTCAATGTTTCATTGACGATTATATTACTCACAGCAGTGTATCCACTTACCGAATGAAGACCTCCGCAACAACACCCTGTCAGTTACGTGGGGGGTCGTTTCACCATACTTCACCACGGTGAAGGTGGGAGGGGGGGGGCATGAGGAGACATTCAACTGTCACGCGCCGCCGTTTGTTCCCCATCGCTGACATCATCGCTGCGGTGGCTCGGAGATGTTAGCTACCTCGCCTGGTGTACAGGAGGTCGTGGGTTCGATCCCGACCCTGGCGCCTGCTGCTGTATATTTGGAGTTTACGTGCCTCTGTCCCCATGGTCGCGTCGATTTTTTTTTGGCTGCTCCGGTTTTTCCCTCCACGTTTAGAGACATGCGTTATTTTATTATTCGGCTGCTATACATTTCCACACGATAAGCCACTTTGTTGAGCTATCATTCGTGGCCATGTCGTTGCTGAAAAAAAAGAGATGTATAGCTCAGTTGGCCTTACCTGGTAAAACAATAAAAAGTTTAGTTTTTGTTTAATAGTTTAATCCTGCAAGGCTCTTCATAGTGCAGTGCACTGACTATGACGCCACCACCCCCCTTCCCCCACCCAAGGCTCTGTCATAGCGCTGGAAATATCTGACATGCGCGGTCCAGATAAAGTTTGGCGCCTTTGAGTAATTTACACTCACATTTTGACACGATGCGATTAAAGTGTACGTTCAGGGAGTGTATCGCGACCGTGCATTGATGTCACGAGTTGTTTCAGTCGATACTGCGAAATCTGTCAAGCTAAACTGTGGGGTGTGCATTAACTCGAGGCTCACATTCTCACTGCGATATTACTTTGAATCCCTGCAGCAAACTTCGTTGGACAATGAACAAAAAAAACCAGACAAAGCCTCTCATTTATCACGTGAACTCATACGCTTATTTTTATTGTTACGCATCACATTTAAATTCCGAAAATATTTTTCACGCATAAAATGCCCTCGACACGAATAACTGTTCACTATTTTACGACGATGACCAATGCATTTATATATTTTTATGGTAGCTACATACATACAAACCTACATATACATATATACAAACATACCTATACATACATGAATACCCACATACATACAAACACATATACTTTCACCTGTAGCGGCACTGAAATAAAACATTAGTACGGACCGCACAATCGTAATACACATTCGAACGTATCGAAAATGATTAAGTGCATATTTAAACGGTTCTAGTTCAAAGGGGATTCTTGTATTCCCAGCCCTCTGATAGACGCACAGAGCGCTGCATTGTTACCCGACGTTAGCACTTGATTTAATTCAGCCCCCCCACCCCGCGCCCTTGATTAATGCTACCATTTCATGGAAAACACGCTGCGCTAATGCGTTGCAGCAGGTAACCGCTGTTTGTGTTGTGTGTGGACGTTCTGTTTCGCTGCGTGGAGAGGAGGGGCGAGGGGGGGGTTGGTGGCACAATGCGTGGTATTGTCAACGCGTGCTCTCGTATTGTGCTTGGCTGTCGGGCAAGAACACGAAGGGGTTTTTTTTCTGCGCGAAGGTTTTTTTTTTGGGGTGCGCAGAGAAACACATTATTATTATTATTATTTTTTCGTTAAGCAAAAAAAACGAAAGGCGGCCCCAGGTGGAATTATTTTTCTTGAAATTCCTGAGATTGTACGAACAAAAAATATCTGCAACCTGAAATCTCTACAAATCCTGACTTGTGTATAGCACACGACCGGTGACAACGAGAAAGAGGCCACCGGGGCAAGTGTTGACCACCCCGCCGCCTCCGTGGGTGATGTCTGCTGATTGAATTTGCATAGAAGCTGGCCGGGAGCCAGGGACATTCCCCCATTCTAAAAGAAAAACAACATTGCGAGCTACCCTTCTGGCCCAGTGCATCTGCATGCATGCATGCACGTGTATGCGCATAAGCTATGTGTGTGTGAGGAGTGGCGGCTGGCACAAAAGCTGCACCCTACAAATCCCTCTCCCACCTCGGTTGGATTCCTGGCCACGTTAACTCGTGGAACTTGTCCTGGAATAGCCGCGGGCGAGATGAGATGAAAATTATGACCATCCGCAGGGTGTTAACACTTTATCGGTCCGGCAGAGTTACTGGGTCCTATTGTCCACGTGTACTATGCCAGGCCTAATTGGTACTCACTAAAACAGCAACTTAGGGTGCGGCAGTGGTGCATTGGTGAGCGCGCTGCACTAACCACTGGACCTAAGTTTGATTCCCGGCGATGACGATCGTCAGTGGGGAGTGACATCAAAGCCAATCCTCGACCTTTCACGAGCCCACACCGATCAGCCCTTGAGGACTGTAAAGTCGAGCCCCCATGACCGACACGGTGCGGGAAGGCCTCTGTGACATCAAGCAGTGGATCGGCAGTGTTAGAAATCGCCTTATATATATAAACACAACCACTGGGAGTGTAGTGCACAAGGTGACGCTGTGATCTTGACTTTTCTATAATGTATATTAATATATGAATGGTGCATGGTTGTGAATAAAACCACTTTTTTTATCCTGACGAGCTATTGACCTAAGTTTGTTTTATGTATTAATGTTAGCAACAATAAGAACGTCGAGCAGCAGGTGAAGACACCTGTTGTTGTACGGTACTTGTGACGAGGAGACTTTGAGCTGGTCAAGAAGGATCTTTATTGTCAACGCCAACTCACATCACACTTCCACTCGATATCAAAAACCCACCTCGAACCCTCCAACTCCGTTCCCTTTTAAGAGCCCCCCCCCCGTCCCACCAATCCCCCCCTTTAATAATCCTTCTCGCACCAGTCCGACCAAAGTGTCCTCCACTCAATAATCGGATTGCGTGCTCACGTGACACCTGTGACCCTTAACCCGTGGCCGTGCGGTGTTTGTCCGAACATTCTCGACACTTCGACGCTCTTGGCTCTGTGTACCCCACCTTCACAGATCCGTGCCGAGCAGCGTGGTAGGGGGAGACATCATCCAGCAGTGGGTTCTCACACAAGGACTGTACCATGTCGGTGACGCGTGATGTGGTTAATGAATTGTATTTGAACAAACATTACAATCTCCCTCTCTCTCTGTGAGCCCGTTCACACTTTCAAATGCGGAACGTCGGAAAGGCAACATTGCGTATCGCACAGGTGGGCGACATCGTGCAGAAATGTAAAGGTATTTTCTTCAAACACTTTTCCTTTGAGAAGCCAACAAACTGAGAACTGAAAGGGAAACAAATCAAGTTCGTTTGTCCGACTGTACCCAGACATGGCTTATCGTTTTTCAGGAGCTTCCAAATCTGGTTTTGTCGGTTTTGTTCCGTGTCGGCGTGCTGCGCGAGTGAGTGGCCGTAACCTGAGATGACACCAGACTATGCTGAACTGCATGCAAAACTTGACTCTTTATTTATTACTTTACACATTATGAGTCTATTGCGCCGTAAATGATGTTGCAGCTGTTTGTCTTTTTAAATCCTTTATATTAAGTTCACTTGCTTGCTTGCTTGCGCGCTTACGACCGTGCAAATCTTTCGGTCGTTTTTTAACCCATTTCCCGTGATCCAATCGAGCTGACATTTTGCACACAGACTCGTTGTGCGTTACAATTTATTTTCGTGAAATTTTTTTTCCTAAATTTTACACTTTTTAGGAACATTTTTTTTTATATTTAATTACCAATTGCTTAATGGTGGCAGGCAATCATCTGACCCATAGGTGGCAGCCATCTCAAGCCAGAGGACGAGAGGACTCTAGCCACCACGCATATAAAGGATTTATAGTAAAAAACTTTGTTTTTACGGGTTAATTTTTTGTTGTTGTTGTTGCATCCCCCGCCCCGCTCCTTTGCAAGAACATCGGCACACTTATAATGAAGGCTGCAGAAACCCCCTATTCAGAAAACAGAGTTGCTCGTGTTAGACACGTGAAGTGAAAAACCTGTAACAAAGCTCCTTGATTGGTAGGGTTGACCAAGTGCCCAAAAAAAATGCGGCTCTTGTAAACACACCGAGTAAGGTGAACTTGGCTCATGTCCAAATAGTCCATCGTGTCAGGTATGCCGTGGTATATAGCTCAAATTTCATACCACCTATGCCTCTAGAGCTATTGTTTTCATTTTAAAAGTTGTTTGTCTTTTACCGTAACTTGTACTGTGGGAGTCCTTGCCTAATACGGGTTTTCTGGAAACACAGCGCACCCTTCATGTTAGACAACATGCCCACGAAAGTAGATACCACAGAACGAATTCTAAAATTGCTTTAAGTGACCCCCCGGTCCCCCACAATAGAACACAGCACTTTCCCAACCAGCTTACCACAGAGAACAATGCCCGTTGCATGACAGTCACATTTTATTACGAGACCCATAAGGAAGAATGAAACCAGCTCAGAGTTTGTCTGCTTTTAAACAAATACTGTCGGAAAACATTGGGTTCAGAAGGCCAATTGGCTGAAAAGATAATTTTATTTAATGTGCAGATATGGTCTTTTTGTTTCTCCATTATATAAGCACTGACCATTATAAACTCACGGCTTGACAGAGGCTGTAGCTCGCCATAATAGTCAGTGACCAAGATCCTTGTAGCAAGAGCAGTCTGCAGTCTGCGGGCCTTGTTTATGAAGACCGCTACACACTTGATCAATTTTAGGACAATTATCCCTCGCAATCATGCGTGTTGAATTATGAATGGAATACAAAGCACAATCTGAGGTAGTCAAGTGACCTCTGACTTTGATCTGATTGGAAGTTCCCATTCCAGCTGCTCCTCACTAGGGGGAGCAGCGACCAGAATTGTTAAAATTGTAGGCAACTGACTTTATTATTTGTTTACAATATAATATTACGCGGAATTTATGTATGGTCACAATCGCCGTTAATTTTACCTGCGTGAACCATGGCCTTTGGCGGCTAGGGTCAGATGGGGTTCAACATTTTTATTTGATGGCCGTTTTATGCAATGGTGATCTTTCACGAATATAAAACATTGTAAATAAATGGTCATCCTTAATAGCCAGCCAAGTGGCTGAGCGGGAGAGCGCGTGGATCACAACCAGAAGGTGGCAAATTAAATTCCTGTTTAGTGGGGTTGACCCAGCCCATCATCTCTACAGGGTCGAAAAAAACGAAGGCCCTCCAACACAACGTGGATATAACGGCTGCACGTCGCTCCTGGTTTGGCGCTTCTCTACCTGAACGTGCATTCTTTTATAACTCTGCGAGCAATGCCTTGCTCTCATAACCCACTGTGGACTGGTCTTCTACAAGGTTCTATTCGTGCCCCTCTGTATTTCGAAATTCATCTCATACCACTTGGCCGCTTAATTTTCAGTTTCGGTATTAAGTCAATTTCCAGTTTCCGTATTGCAAATTTCTATGCTGATGACACCCCAGTATCACTCTTCACCTATCTTACCCAATCTTCCCTCACATCTTGCCTGGATGAGATTTCAGATTGGGTTGCTTCCGATTTTCAATAGCTCGATGTTTGTAAAAATGTAAGTTCTGTTTGCGAGGGAAAAAAATCTGCCCTTGTAAGACTTCTTTGTCCAACGTTCGCCTTCTCAACTCTGATATCAAGCTAGCAAAGAGCACACACAATCTCCTCGATCAAGAACTTTTCTTTTTTACTTCGCATATACCGCAACTTTGCAGAGTGTCAAACTGCCATCAACAAAACGTTTCCTACGTTCGCGTAGTGACGCCAACACACGTTCTTGTTTTATTAAGAGCCAGAGGTCGCCACCGGGTACCCGATACCCGTACCCTACCCAATACCCGGCTACCCATACCCGGCCGGGTACGGGTACCCGTTTGCGACTCTGGTGCGGCCGGGTACGGGTAGGCCGTGAGTCACTGGTGAGTAACCGTTTGTCACTCATTTCCCAACGTCTTGTCTCTTCTCAAAATTTAAGTTCCTAGAATCAACCCACCCGCGCCTGCAACATGGCTTCATCCCAGAGGTCGCAATCGGGTACCCGTACCCGTACCCGTACCCTACCCGATACCCAGCCGGGTACGGGTAGCTGGGTATCGGGTAGGGTACAGGTACGGGTACCCGTTTGCGACCCTGGTGCGGCCGGGTACGGGTATGGATAAGGAATCAAAACCCGTTTGCGACCTCTGTTAAGAGCCTTTAGTTTGGACACAGCACAAATTCTAGGCCCAGGCTTCGGTCCTTGACGCTTGAACTTCGTCTTCTCTCCCCAACTGTCCCTTCCCTTCGTGCTCTCCCCTTGTACATTCCTCTAACGCCCCCCTTTCTCGAAGGTTCGCTCACCCCCATCTCCCTCCCTCCCCCCTAACGGTTTTCAGCCCCCCCCCGCCCCCTCGACAGTCCACCCTCGTGTCTCCTTGAATTTTCTTTCCAATCGGTTTAATTCTCTGACCGTAACCAATCCTCTTTGAGGCCTCCCTACACCAACCAGAGGCCCCCCTACACCAACCAGAGGCCCCTAACACACTTCCCGACCGTCCGCCTGTGTACGAACCCCGTCAGGCAGACTGGTCCGTTGTCTCGGTCTTTACATTCGTTCACTGGCTCACGGCCGAAGACGAACACTGGCTCTCGTTGTTAGTTAATAACTTTTACTTTAATTCTTGACATAACTCTTGACAATTTGCCTCCCTCCGACAATAGCTGGGTGCGCCACCAGAGTTGACGACAAAACCAAAAGGCGGGAAGATGAGTGGTAGCTAAAGTGTGGCCTTAGGTTAAGTCCCCGGGTGAACCTAATCCTCCTTTAGCTCTCGGGCTACAGTTATCCGGTCTCCTAGAGCCATGTAGGCTGCCCTGGGTGAGTTCCCACAATCCCATTGTCTTCAACACTTGCGATGGTATTTGGGTCACTCAATACTGGGGGTGTAACGATTCACACCCATCGCCATTCAATTAATTGGCACAGATTAATTCACGATTTGTTTTTTTTTACATTGTGAATGCAGTGACCTGCAGTGGTTAGAGGTGGCCACATAAATCCATGTATACATGATATATGCGAACTGAAAATCGATTTATTCTTATTCGTGCAATTCTACGCATAAAATAAGTATAAAATATGAAACGATGAATCAGTGCGTCCTTAGGTCCTCTACTGAAAACACGGCATAGTTGAACTTAGCGTTATTCTAATTAGTCTCCTGTTTTATAATAGCTAGGATCCTTTAATGAATCTACGTGAGCCTTTGCCAGCATATAAGATGCATCACCACACGTATGTAATGTACATGTACAGCCCTTTGTTGAATCCACTGCTGAATGAGGATCCCTCCCACTCCGTGCGGATCGTGGGAGAGTTATTTGACTGTATTTCGTGCGAGTTGACGAACGCGGGGCAGCAAAGAAGTACAGTCCAACAGTTGATATTGCCTGCACTTCCCTTTGCTGGGGACAATGTAGACCCGCCTCCCCCCTCCCACAGCCTTGCTCACCATCCAAGCAGCATATATGCAGGTACCTGTAACAAAAATACTGAATGTAAATGATAACCAAAGTGATTCAAAGTTATTGTGTCATCAACAAAAATCTTAAACAAAAAAAAACCGCTTGGAGTCACATGTCATCATGTCAAGCACCCGGAGGATTTTTGGAGGTTGATGTTTTTGCCAAAAAATGTTTTTATTGCAGAGTAAATTATATATATATGTACTCTTTATGTCGGTGTTTGTGCGCTATGGCCCAACCGGTTCCAGTCGCCCATAATTCCCCAATGGAAGCATGCAATCAGAAAACAATGAGATGAGACGGCACGCAGCCAGCCATCTTCTGGAACCTTTGCGGTGGCGAAAAAAATGTGGGCGAAAACTATGAGCTCCCCTTTATTTATTTTTATATATATGTCTCAGTTCACCTGCAACAACAAAAAGAAACACGTTTCGTTTATTATTCAAGATGCAAAACAGAAATGACGGCATGCGCGCTATAAAATGTATATCGTAAATGCAGTAAGTATGCTCGTTGTTTGTTCATTACAGTTGCGTAATTCATGTTTCGGTGGGTTTGTATATTTTTCTTACAGTTCACGAGGAAGTATAAATAATGAGGTGATGTACACACTTTCTGAGTTGTGTACAGTACAAAAAAAAACGATTCTCTTATTCCAGGCACTCAAATGCAGTGCTAAAATGTGTAGAGTGAAACCTGCATCTGATGTGGTGATACGGCCACCAATCGAACGAACAATTGACCCCGTAGCATTTCACAGCTGTGCTGTACGATGCTCCGACGTGGTTTCTGGTCGGCACAGTGTCCGACGTTTTACTCCACGTGCTGGAAGCTTCTTCAAGAACTGTAATACAATATTTATAAGCTCCCAGAACAATACAGCGAGGCGTCAAGACATCGTGCCGAACGACGCGTGGTACGACCCATTAACACACAAGAGATTGACAAAAATGTATATTTGGGAAGTTTGCTCCTCTGCCTGTATTCAGACTCCGCCCCCCCCCCCCCCCATCTTCACAGTACAGGTGAAGAGATCTACAGATTGGCTTTCAACGGGAGGGAACATGCCAAAGAGCATGGCTACTGTGGAGATGGAACGATGAAATCATCTCGTGTGCACAGGCGCGCAGGCCCGTGAGAGTTGGCAACGGCTCATAGCAGGCCTTTGACCGGCAGTGGATTGACCGTGGCTGATGGCGATGTTGTAGCATTAAGATATGGGATTTGTAATTCAGGCAGCACTTGTAAAATTGGTTTGCAACCAACAAGATGTATTCTTGGATGGCGTTGATCACGAGAAAATCTATTCACTATGAACATCAAAAGCACCAGCTCTTTAATCAGGAGAAGTCCTTGCCGTATATCTGGAGAGCTTCCCCACATCAAAGCCATTCTCTTTGCTTGTTTACAACATTCAAGCCAATAGCCCTGCATTTTTCTCAGAAAAGCAATGCAGCCAACCAACACGTGCATTCAGTCTTTACATTTGGTTTCATCAACATTGCTTTGATAACAATAACCATATTTTTTTTATTGACCGTTCAAAAGACACTCTTTTTTTGGGGGGTTATTTTGCCACGGGCACCGACACGCATGACACATACACGTTCCTACATCGAGCATAACACAAAAATATTACTGCGGTGCTGAAATCCTTAGAAAGACTTCAACAGCAATCATTGAGAACACTGCAGGTGTAGACGGTTCATCTTCTCGACAATTCGACCAATGATCACGATCGAATGCAAGAATCGATATAAAAAAATGTTCTATAGTGGCGATTGTAGATTGCCACTGGTAAGCGCCACCCAGAGGCGTATTGGGGAGCAAAAGCGGCCAATTTCTCCTGGGCCTTATGCAACAGAAAGCCCCACAATGGACCTGTCTTTTTTCATGTCGCTCATGAATAACAGAACCCCACGTGGGATTCTGCCTCAGGGCCTGCGGGAACCTCTAGACAGTCCTCCCACCAGTGGCTGCAGCAGAGGTCACGTGAATTAGATTGAACCCATTACAGCAACGCACACAAAAATAAGTATCGACGTTCACCCCTTCACCAAGCCACCACTCGATGAAGGGCCTCTCCATGCCGCGTCGGTCATGAGGGTTGCATGAACATACTTCACCACACTGGTCAATGCCGGGTTGGCTGTTTAGTATGCATATCGCGTTTGTCATTGGCGTCTTCACTGGTGGTCCCCCACCAAACCTCGCCTCACTACTCTCGCTCATGGTAGAACTCTACGCAGCGTCACTCATAATCTGATTAGGACACCAAAGGTCTCGAACTGTTACAGCCTCACGTCGGTACACTATGCACTACACGACAATACACTAGATTATGCACTACACTGTACACTACACCATACACTACACTATACACTACTGTACACTGGACTACACTGTTACAGCCTCAGGTCGGTATACTATACACTATACACTACACTAGATTATACACTACACTGTACACTATACCATACACTACACTATACACTACTGTACACTAGACTACACTGTTACAGCCGTCAACTACGGTTCTCTGCTGTGGCCCCCTCCGTGTGGAACTCTCTAATCCCCACTCGAATCCCTTTGCACATCTGCAACATCAAATGCACTTTGATTTGTAAGAAACATTTAAAGGCCTCTGTCAGTTTGGTCAGGCCTTCGAGCAGCCCTGAAGCTTGGCTCTGCGCCTCTGAGTTGTTGACTTGTCTGCAAAATCTGGCGCGTTTCAATGTTATTATTATATATGTGCAAATAAAAAAACACATTCTTACTAATGTGGTTCGATTAATGGACTCTGAACTTAAGAATCGATTAATCGTCGTATCACTGAGGTAGCCGGGTGGCTCAGAAGTCCAGATAAAGTGCTTTCGAATTCAAGGTAACTGACTGGTCAAGCAGTGTTGTGAGTTCTTGATCTCAGCCTTGTCATACAAAACTGCACGTAAAAAAAAAACTCGACCATGTTAAACTTGGTTCGTCACTTACGTTTGGGTAAATTCCAGCTCTGAGAATTAACAAAAAAAAGACCGCTTTGACTGTCATGCAATAAACATTTATCGCTGCAGCGAGGCGTGTGGGTAAGTGCTACCCCATACCGTGCAGACCAGAGGTCACTTGCAGAGGTTGCTGAGGCAGCGCTGTCCTATACAATTCCGTGGGCCGCTCTCTAACACGAGGGGTTGGTCGACAAGAGTTCTAACTCGACGCTTCATCTAATGACACGGCGCAGGTAACACAATATCAGACGCCACTAAGCGGAGCATCGTATTCACAAACAGTGTTGGGGTTGGGTGCCGATATGTGTCCTCTCTCTGTGTGTCCTTGTGATGTCTGTCTGCTTGTACGTCTGTCTATAGTTTTCTAGTTAGATTTTTGTTGCTATTTCTTTTATGCCTGATGATGATTGCTTGTGTTGCAATCGAAACGTCGTAATATGCTTTTATTTAAATTTATTATTTTATCTTTAGACGTGACTTAACCGAAAGAACCAAAGAATAATTCCTGCAGTCACGAAAGCTCCATAATTAAGGTTGGGGTTGGGTCTCTACGACTGTCTATGGCACCTCTGAAGATGATAGCGGCCAAGAGTGGAGCATTGTTTTCGCTTTGTTTTGGCTTTGTCAGCATGCGCTTCGAATTGTTATTTGTAAATTTTGTAGGCAGCATTCACAGGCGCGCATGGCATGAGTTGTGAACCTGGCACAGACTTGTCAGGAATCTCTGAAAGCAGACCATGCAAAAGTAGGCACCCGCCTCAATTTAAGCAGCGAGCCAACAGAGAAAACAACCTTAAAACCAATGGGTATTTGGTTAGTGTCCCTTGGAATTTTATTTTTATGTTCCAGTGGTGTAAACGTGGAGGCCAAGAATGTTGTCGTGTCACAGTGAATAGGGTATGTTTGGTTTTGTGGATAAATAGGCAATGTGCGTGTACAGTATTGCCTAATTTGGCAAGACGTTGTGAAAATTGTGACTTTGACCATCGTTTGGATTTGAACTCACAAGATCAAGACCTTGAGCCTGCCAATCAACTTGGTCGGGCCAATCAACCTGGCAATAACAACCAATCCGAATCACGTCCCTGCGCCCACGACTGAGATTCACAAAGCTGCTTTTTGGAAACGCGCGGCACAAACTCTGCGTGCCACGAACCTCAACATCAACACTTATGGGCTTCAAGCAACGTGCCGAAAACAATCACGTGCTCGGCGACCCCCGCCACCGCACTGCCCGGTTTAACATGTAGTAAGGCTTTCACAACCGATGTCATCCATAATAAGGTTGGTTTTTTTTGGGGGGGGGGGCATAGATCTCGCAAAATATAAATCTGTCGTTAAACCCGCCACCACCCGCCACATCAGTGTGTTGCAGAGTAAACCCAAAACATTTAGCGGGTTTAACGACCCTGATATTTACACGATCTAACCCAAAGAAAACGTTATTATGGACCGTACTGCCCAGCTTCCATCTTCCTTGAAAAACAACGGGCAGCACAGAGTCTCTGAAAAAAAATTGCACTAAAAAACACATTGCATTAGGAGTGAGCGGACTGAGATAGTAACACTGGTGCAGAGTCAACACGGAGAGTTACAGCAAAAGAGAGAAACAGTCCCCAGAAGCAGATATTATGGAACTGCTTCGGAGATCGCTTCAAGTGACATATCCACACTAGCAGGCAGCATTTCCCACCCGCCCTGAAACAGAGGGGATGTTCGTCTCATGATGGTCAAGCTGATATGTTTCATTCTTGGAACTGTGATTTTTTTTCTCCATATTAAGTGCCAAACCAAGTTTAATATCGTGGGGTTTTTTTTTTTTGTTATATGGTCGTTGGCCAATTACTACAAAAAGTAATAAACTCTCTCTACTTGAGAACTCGTTTTTACCAGAGGAGGTTGTCCAGATTAAAACCCAGGATCTTCGTGGTGCCAGTTCATCGCTTGAACCTCTCAGCTCACGTGGCCATATCTGTATCAATTATATATTCATGGCATTCCTGTAAATGTATTACATTTAGGTCTCCCTTCCAAAAGAGATATACTGTACAATTGCCTCATCTCTTTTTGTTTTAAACAACGGTGAGATAAAATCCCATGATGGGATTAAACAACTGGGCGTGTTTCGTAAGCTTAAGACCCAGCCGCCAACTCATGCAAAATATTCCTCTGGAAATTCCCCTCTCTTACACTCCGTGGGCTTAACGCGAAACGTGTGACAGGGCTGCGTCGGCAGCGGTGCGCAGGGTGGCACTCAACTCAACGTTTATTTATTACCCGGTAAAGCCCACTGCGCTTGCAAAAAAACTCAACACGTCTGCCAATAATACAAGCCTTAATAGTAAATATCACATTAAGTAGGCAACGTTTCAGCAAATGGTCCTTTTTCATAGCGAGTTTGATCTCTGCCATGGAGAAGAGCCATTGCCCAGTGTTATTGAAGAATGTGTTGAGCGTGTTTTTTTTTTACATTTTACGCGGTTCAGGATTGCATGTTAAAGTTGGTCTTTAACAACTGCTGAGATTCAAACACGCCAAAGAGATCTTTATTTTCTCCGAAGGAAGGTAATCGCTGATCAGAAAATTCACCTGCGGCTCAAACATTCGTATATAACCTGGTCATCTTCTGCACAGTAGAATTTAACGATCGCTTTGACTTACTTTTTTAGTATTTCGCTTAAAGAGATTTTTTTTATTCCATCTTAGTTATAAACCTGAGGGGCCTCTTATTTTTTTTATTTTGTAGGGTGGGGGCCCTGGCACAGTTCCAACATTTTTCCCGTGGTCACGCGATTACATTTTTACCCTGGCGGTCGTGAAAGATGGAAAGCAAGCGTACACACACAAAGTCACTTGGGTGCGGCCACACTTATTTATTTATCTCGCAAAGGTATAGGTGACTTGTTTAAATTAAAAAAGCACGTTTGCGTTCAAAAGAGAAGCGTCGCTCTTTGTGACATTCTTTTTTACGTTTCACTGTTGTTTTATTAATGGTGAAACTGGAATTTCAACGTGTTTTTGTTCTCGAGTTGAGGCAGATTTTGATTAATTTCACTGTAGCGCTCAAGAACGCATTCGATCAATTGTAATCGCAGCCATTACCTTGCTCTGTGCAACAGTTGCCATGTATGTATTTACAAACAAAACACGAATAATAATTATGACAATTATAGACTCGAGGAAGGCTCGTCAAGGCTAATGTTCACAGGGCTCCTGGAAAAGGATGTTTGGCCAATACCGTGAATGAGTGGCCTCGAGTGGGAGAAACCCAGAGAACTCAGATAAACATAAAACAACATGTCACGTGCACACGTTTCACCAAACGGACAAATCGTAGATAGTATGTACGCATGAGAATAGGTTTTCCCCTTTTTATGGCAACACAACAGATGTGAAGATGTTAAAACACCAAACTGAAACATTTTACAAGGAATCATGTCTGCATTAACCACAATACTTGTGGTCAGAACGCAAACAAAAAACATACTCTGATAATATTTGCATTGTCTTTGAAACTGATTGGTCCACACGAGAGACAGCTTTCTTTTGAGCCTAGTCTCAAAACGGCGTTAGACCAGAGGACGACAAAAGGCGTACGAAACATGCGTCTGTACGCATGTTTGTTGAACTTCTTTAGCACCATACCATTGGACCTTTTTTAGCCAGTATCAAAGTACGAAAAATAATAAGATGTGTAGGCCAATAGGTTTAAAAGACAATGCATACATTATCAGAGCATGTTGTGTTTGCATGTTCACCACAAGTACGTGTGGTTAATGCAGACTTGATAACTTGCAAAAAGTATCCATTTGGTGTTTGAACACCTTAATCCGTGTCGTATTGCCGAGAAAAGTTCAAACCTATTACTCAGCACTGCACGTAGCCAACCGTGCCAACCGGAGGTGCGGCGGGCTAAACGGATCGTCGATCGCGAACTCGGAAGGCCGCGGGTTCCCACGTGTGCCAGCCCCGAACGAACACCGGGCATCGTCATCAGCTGACTCATCGCCGCCACCACGTGACCACCTCGTAGCCACGTGCCACATGCTATGCCTCCCCCAGCATCGGTCCCCGTTCCGACGTCATCTCCTGTCGATGCCCTTCTTTGTTGAGAGCGACATTGTCACGGAAAATGAAGATCGATTGATCGATGCCTCCAACGTCTGGCAAGCCGTGTGTGTGGTGGTCGCCCAACCAGGTTTCTAAGCAGGCTCCATCTGCTTAGCTTCTGAGATTTGGCTTGAGGCTTGGCACATTCAGAGTAATTCGGTCTTCATTGTTGTAACTCAAGGAGTTGTCGAAAGTTGGGAGCAGAGTATGCTCACCGCTGTGCTGACGAATTATCCCTTGATTGTTTATAAAGTCAGTTTGAATCCAATCGTACAATACACTGAGCAGAATTGATTTTTGGGAAAAAGAAATAAGACACAATGTACTTTTCTTGTTCTGGTCTCATATACGGGACAAAATAAGTTTTGATTTTATTACCTCACCGTGATTAACTCTGGGACATTGTGCCTATGGGGTGTGTGTGTGTGTCACACCATTGTGATTCTGTCATTGAACCACCCATGTGATTTGCTATGTGACTTCGCCAAGCATTGATCGCAAGGTGGCACAGTGGTCAGTTCGCACACTACGCTGTGTCGAGAGTTCAATTCCCGGCCACGGCCAACTTCTGTACCAATTCAGCCTCCCCCCTCCTCCGACATTCACTAACCCGTACTGACCAGTTTGGTGAAGGATTGTCAAACAACTCCTGTGACGGACATCCGTCATTGTTAGTGTTATTAATATTGCAGTGCCACGCTGGTTTTCACGGTGGTGCTGCATGGCTCTCCGACTTGTTTTCAGGTCACTCCACGTGTCGTTCGGCACCATGTGTGTGACCTTTAGCTCCATATGTGTGACCTTTAGCTTTAAGTGTGTGACCTTTAGCTCCGTCTGTGTGACCTTTAGCAAGGTTTGTGTGACCTCTAACTCCATGTGTGTGACCTTTAGCTCAATGTGTGTGACCTTTGGCACCATGCATGCGACCTTTAGCTCCATGTGTGTGACCTTTAGCTCCATGTGTGTGACCTTTAGCTCAATGTGTGTGACCTTTGGCACCATGCATGCGACCTTTAGCTCCATGTGTGTGACCTTTAGCTCCATGTGTGTGACCTTTAGCTCAATGTGTGTGACCTTTGGCACCATGCATGCGACCTTTAGCTCCATGTGTGTGACCTTTGGCACCATGTGTGTGACCTTTAGCTCCATGTGTGTGACCTTTAGCACCATGTGTGGGACCTTTAGCTCCGTGCGTGTGACCTTTAGCACCATGTGTGTGACCTTTAGCCCCATGTGTGTGACCTTTGACCCCATGCGTGTGACCTTTAGCTCCATGTGTGTGACCTTTTGCTCCATGTGCCCGGAGCAAAATGTTGGACAGAGTGGCAAACAATACACGGTACAACCCGCAAACACGCAGAGGTGTTTAATTTACTTTTTAAAGCTTCCCCTCGTTATTCGCGAGGGATATATTAATGAATTACCTTAAATTAGACACGTAAATAAACTATTGAAATACTTGTGCGTGTATCGTACGTTGCATGGAGGCAACGTCTCCATGCCAGACGTTCTCTCTTCGAGAAGTTCTATCATCACTTTCCCTCTCTCTCTCGATGCAGTCGTGTCGAGTTCCAGATGCGATTCGCGGATCGCCAAACTCGTGGATAGCATGTTCATGAATGAAGAGGGAATTCCGTATAAACTATGGTCGTCCACGCAGCGGCAGCTTTTGGCCAACCATCGAACAAAGACGGTCACTGAATCGCGCGCTTCCAGACGCGCTTCTCCGGCTGCTTGGAACGCTCTTCCTTCCGATATGCAGAAGCCACTCGGGCTCGACACTTTTAAATCCAGGTTGAAAAACTGATTTCCTTCGAACTGATTTCCGTGTCTATTTTATCGTCCTTTCCCCCGCACCTCCGATCAGCACGGTTGGCTACGTACGGGATGAAAGAGGTTCAACATACATTTGTATATACATACTGTAATGAGTTCACGTGACCACCTCGTAACCCACCCGGGGCTGCTACGCTCACCACGGTGTTAAACGTCGAATCGATCGTGGATTTGAATCACGATCACGAAGCGAGTCGAGTGATGTGTGCGAGGGGGGACGTTCCCCCTTCCTCCCTCCCCCTTCTCCCCCCGCACACTTTTGGCATCGAAGTTTTCATCGCAGCTGCAGCGGAGAGGTAAGTGAGCCATGAATCACACACAGCCTGGAAGGGATCAAGCTGTGAAATTTCACACCTTACAATAAATATCTGCTTCTGCAGATGTACAAAATATTTTTTGGTGTGGACGTAACATCAACAGGAGCCGCGTGCACCGCAGCAAGGTATCACTTGCCGTGCTTCCGACCAATATTTTACGAAGCAAAGTAAATACCGTAGTTGGTCGAGTTTTTAATACATCGCGGATGTGTCACGCAGAGACGCTACTGCCACTCCAATGCATGCAATTACGCAATGCGAAACAAAAGGCACAACTCCATGGGACTGTGAGACGACCGTGGTCTCGCCTTTACGTTTCTGCGACCTCTGAATCGGCACCCACGTGCACACACGTACAGCACAAGCCCACCACACGTACAGCACAGACAAACCACACGTACAACACAGGGGGTCAGCCAATGATGCATGAAACACTTGTGGGTCTGACCCGTACTTCACTGCTCATGACGACGATATCTGTGGCCTTGATCACCTGAATGTGAAATTGTAGTCGTTGTTCTGTGTCTTGCACACTCGAAATGAAGGACGTGGGCAGGTGCTCCAAATCGGGGGCAAGCACATTTGTTGTGGTTAATAGCAATCTTGTGAAGAACAGCACCGTCACTCTGTAAAATGCACCAGCACGTGTCACACGCAGCAATTATTACGAGTCGCCATTAACCACGTGGCTGGTGTATCCACGCGGGCATTCAATAACCCTGACAGCCACCTACAGGCCCAACTCAGTCATCACATGCTGCTGTACACACATGCATTGATGCACTGCACAGCACATCAGGACTTTCACAGAACCACACTTTACTCCCTTGCTGCTGCACAAGGACATAATTAAAAGAGTGATCCATTCCTAATGTGCCACATCTGGCATCTACATCAGCAGCCGTACGAAAGAACAACGTGCTCACAGCGCTGCACCGCAACGCCGCTCACTTTGAAGAGCTTCCTATTTCTCGCGAGTATAAGTTTGGATTGCTCACACTTTACCCCGCTAAAAGTGACCACCTATAAATGTCGTGTCATTTTTTCTTGTTGTTGTACAGCTGGACAGACAGGGGATAATATTCTGTTTCTCGAAAATACTTTAGGGGAAATATCTCGGATTACTGGAGTTAAGAATGCCGTTGTATAAGTTGAGTAACTTGCTGTCTTTCAAAACTGAATAGTTTATCTGTAGCGGTCGCTACTGGCTTTCGCGTATTGCGCTTTGCACGTTGATGTTGCAGTGCCGCCCTAGTCATAACTGTTACCAGATGGAATCCATTAGGTTGAATGGTACGTCTAGTGAAGAGTATTCATCGTCAGCTATGGTCAATATACTGCTGGAGGAAGGCTTCCCCAAGCCGTCGCTATATCCACTACAGGGGACTACCGTGCACCGTCACCTTGCAGCTGCACGCGAACTGATTCCATCGCTTCATCACCTCGGCACGTTCCCTCCTTCGGCTTCCATTCTGTCGTTGTTCTCGCCCACTGGCCCATCGCCCCTTGTGGCCGTGACGTGTCTTACCCAAGCCGCACTTACTCGTCTTGGCAGACAGATGCACGCCTTTAACACGTGTGTGTATGTGTGTTCTGTAATCCACGTGTTCCACTATCGGTCTAATTTCAAGAATACTCAGTCACTGCGTCATAAAAAACATTATTGGAAAAAAAACATAGGATGCTTAGATTTGTGTTCTGTTCATTCGTCGGATTACATTTTAAGGACATTTTTTTTTGTACTATTAATTTTTTCAACGATTTAAACAAACTCTTATTTAACAACAACTAAAATGGGAATGTATCACCCAGTAATGGCCCAGATTAAACACACACGCACTCAACTCCATTTCTAATTCAATGACCAGGAATGAAATCCACTTTCCATCTATTTAATTATAGAAACACAGGAATGCAACTATTGGGGGAAGAGTGTGGCTCTAGCAACACGTTCGGGATGTGTGTGCTGTTTTGTAAATCGAATCAAGAAATAATTATATATCTCGCCGTGTACAGGTTGTTGAGATATGCGGGTGGGACCGGTCCGCCAGAGCGATTTCGAACATGCCCTGATACGTTTGCAGCCTTCGCATGCCAGCAGCGAGCCAGGTGAAATGCGCCGCTCCCATGCCGCGAACACTCTTTCAGTTGGGAAATATTTTATTATTATCATTATATAATTATTATTTTATCTCCCCCCCGCCCCCCGCTCCCTCCCAACAAGTACCATGAGGAGAGAAGACTACGTTCCCGGGTGAAGGCAGGCTCGGAGTACCGGCACCCAGGAATGGAATGCGTTTCGCTCGCGTTCTGCGGAGACTGTGAGAACATACCTTGAGCGCTACACCTTTGCAAATACCTGCCCGACCTCCCTGAGCCACTGCCACCCCCCGTGTGTCATTACCTCGCCGGTGCTGTGGCCCACGCGTGGCGCTCATGCGTGCTGAGAGCTGAGCGCAAGAGCGAGCGAGCGGGAGTGTGTGCCGTGTGGTAACCTCTTTTGCACCGTGCCGCGGCAATCCACCGAACGCGTCCTTTGCCATTTTTTTCGTTGTTTCCTTTGTCCGCCGTTCGAACCGTCGCCGCAAAATAAAAAGAAAACGTGCGGAGCCGGCTGGGCTGTGGCCGATGCATGCGCTTCGTGCGGCTGTCTTTGTAATGCAGAGTTTTAGCCTGCTTCGTAATCAGAGTAATAATAATGTTTGGTCTAATATAGCGTCGTCGTTCACCCAAAATAGCATCTCACAGGCAAGCTGGCAGGCAGCCAGGCGGTGCTACCAACGATTTCCCAAACTGTGCGGTCCTCTATGTATTAAGATGTTTTATGACCAAATGAGTGAGCGTTTGTTATATATATGTGGGAGAAAACCGGAGCACCCGAAGAAAACCCACACATGCGAGGGGGCAACACTCTATCCCGTACAGAAGAGACAGACGATGTTAGTCCGCACTTTGCCGTAGCGCTTTCTCCCGACAAGCCAGGGTATATCAACCTCAAAGCCCGTGGGAATGGGGTTTCGCAACACGTGTGTGATCTACCGATCCTTTCTTTGCATACTCCTTTGTGCCAGAGCTTGCAAATGTCACGCTAATCATTATCATTCAGTGCGTCTACGTGAAGTGAATAACTGTGGCTGAATTACATTCAAGCAGCCACTCTGTGTTGTGGGCACAATGATCATATGATTACAACCAAATTAGGCACAATTATTCAGATCCCATCCGATCCTAAAATCTAAACGGGTTGGAGCCTGATTAGTACGTGGATGGGAAGTTGCCTGGGAATGCCAGATGATGCCGGCTTCAGCTACTAGGTGGCTCAGAGCTGGACAGAAAATTGATTCTTGAATCCATCTGTGAAAATCTTTGAGTGTCATTCCCTCGCATGAGTGGTACTAGTTTCATCCCATGCCAAACTCTCATTAATGGAGTAATAGGTTTTTACCCTTTCAACTGGTACAAAAAAAAGCTATTATTATATTTTGCCGCTGGTAAAGGAGGTCTCATAGTGTCTCATGAATGGAATTGACCGACCACCCGATGCAGCACAGTACTGTAAAACGAGCCTTTGGCAATCAATGATTAATCCAATTGTATTATTATCATTATTTTAACCCAGCATTTTTAGTGAGAATGACCACAAAGTGTTTGTTATTTCATATACTGCCTCCTGGCTCATAACCCGATGATCACTTGGACCCGCACGAATTGCTGCACGACGCCGGCGAGCGTTGCCGCTGGAACGGACGAGAGAGAGATGCGGGCCGGGGGATTGTGTACATTTTCGGCCGATGCGAAATTCGCAGAGTTATGGAAGGAATATCAACTTTTTTTTTAAAATCAACCCAAGCGGATACTCCGAATGCCACGAATTAATAACGGCGTTTGCAAAAAAAAATGCCACCGGCACGCTTGTCGCAGCTCGCCGGACTCCAGGAATGACTCGCACTTTATTTTACTTTGGCCCTTCCTTTTTCGTGCTGAGCGTAGATTTTTAACATTTCTGTCGAGACGAACAAACAAAAAGGAACAAGCAGGGGGGGGCGGGGGGGGTGCTTTTTTTTCCTGTTGATCGCTGCGCTTGAGCGACTTCAGATCAAACAGTTTTCATCTCCGCTCGCCTACTCCGGCGTAGAAGATACGCCCGGAGAGAAAGTATGTCATTCCTGCGGAGGAGCATTTCCCATGACTGAGGTGCATGCTTGCGATCGCTCATTCCCACGATCGCGAGATAGGGGGGAGGCTGTTTTAACCTTTTTTTCAACGAGTGGGATGAAAAAAAAGCATTTAAATAAGAGAAAGGTAATCCTGCCTCATAATGCGATAATGGTAGCATGTGTTTTAAAAACACCGCTTGTTACACGGGCGCGGTAGTGGGTTTTTTTTACGACAAGGTGCGGTTTGAGATACGCGGATAGCGAGCAAGAGCGTTGGAGCACACATTTTACGTGGAGATTTTTGTGATCCATAATAGAGGTTTGTGGGTTAGATCGCGTAAATAAATGTCATTAAAACCCCACACCACCCGACACAGCCAACTAGTAAGGGTTGTCACGTTTTTGTGATGTAAATAACTTCATGTGGGACTGTTAAAGGCACAAGAATTATGGAACGTATTTTATATTCCAAAATATTTGCGTAATTTACCATGTATTTTTTCCCTCCAAAATGTTTTATGGCATCGAATTCCCGCGCGGCATTTGTATCGTGGCACAAATACGGACTACGTGCGATTTTTCACGTCTAATAAAAACAAAACTCGCCGCTTTACAACGCTATTTTGAGTCAATACTGTTCACGTCAAAATGTCAAAGAAAAAAAAAATCTTCTGACACCAGCACCAACCCTGGACACTGATCGATATCGACACGACCCGGTGAGCAGCTGAAACCGCTGCGGCAAATCTCTCAACCCTCGGGCTCTATGTAAATGTTATGTAACGGTGTCGAGGAGGAGCACAATGGTAGAACACAGAAGGAATGTGCCCCTTTTTTTTCAACTATACAGTTTTTCCCCTCCTCGCTTTAAGATAGCGGAGGACGGTCCGTCGTCTCGTCGAGAATATGAGTCACTTCATTTTTTTCTCTCTCTCTCTCTCTCTCGCTATCAGTCAACATATCTCACAGGCGGACCGTGACAGGTACATGTTGGTCGGTTGAGTCTGCAGCGCTGGCAGTTTCAACCGGCTTGAGGTCACGACTCGGTTTTTTTTTTTGTTCAAACGAAGAAACGAAAAAAAACAACTGGACTACGCGTCCGGCGTTCCTTCGCCTTTCTCTCCCGAGCGGGGAGAATCCAAACGGACGCCGGTAGCAAAGCGCTTTAAAATGACACCGAACGGGGACGCAAACACACACGGCTTGCGTTGGGAGGGAGGGGGTCACAGACACACGTGGTCCCTCGGTCTTGCCAATGTGTGGAGAGTGTTGGAAGAGGCACCGGGATGTGTGGACGTCTAATTGCTTTGGCACAACGCACGTAGCACACCCGCCGTGCTAATCGGAGGTGATCAAAGCCATGGAGCGCAGAGGCGAGCGAGAGCAGCTTGCGGGATGCTTTTGGAAAACTTGAACTTGATGGTGTAAGGCAACGAGCCAATGTGCTCAAACAAGAACGTGTTGAGTCAGTGCGTAAAAACCTGCTTTGACGTTGACAAGAAATAGAAACAAAAGCTAAATACACATGTGCGCGCGGGCAATTACGCCGGAGAGGCAGACAGAGGAATACGCGCATCAGAGAACACGTGCATCAGAGAACACGTGCATCAGAGAACACGTGCAAAGCAGAAACGTCGTGTCGAGCGTTACGGAAAGTAAGCGCGCTTGGGCAGGGCAGGGACACATCGCTAGAATTAGTGATGATCATGATGACCAGTGGTCGAGACTGATGGACGAGTGGCAGCCAAAGGAGATAGCGCATTTAAGAAGAGCACGCAGGACCTACAAACTGTGTTTCTTGCATGCTGAGACGCTGACGGATTGTGACAACTTGTTGGGATATGTCATTGCGGATGAAGGTGGTGGTGATGGTGGTGGTGGTGATGGTGGTGGTGATGCTGAACCGGTCCTGGGCCTCAAAAGAGTACTTGGTGTGGTGTGTAGACATCGCCACTGGGGAGACAAAGGCTGCCAGCCGTGGTGCTGGCCACCCACCCCCTCGTGAGCCGTGCCGGCCTTCATAGGTGCTCGCTAACAGCACTAGCCCCAACAGTCTGTTCAGGCTACACGGTGGGTGGGGGGGGGTAGGATCTTTATTCTTTGATGCTGATAGCTCGAGACTCATTTTTCAAATGGAATCCCGGTGTCGTGCGACTGCGCACGTGCCGAGCTCCTTCCTCGTTCCGCGGCGAGGAAGAAGGGCGCGTGGTGATGGGGATTCGCCGATGGCATCGTGCTTACGCTAACAAACGCGCACGCGAACCCACACATCGGCACGTGTGTGCGTGAGCGATAACGCACGGGTTTGTGTGCGCGTGCGTGTGTGGGGAGCGGTGGTGTAGCGGTTGGCGCGTTTCTCTACGAACCCGGCGACCCGAGTTCGATTCCCGCTCACGGCCAACACCAGTGACGATTATCCGATCCAGTCATGGGCCTCCCCTAGGTCGACTCAGCCTCGAATGAGTACTGGTGTGGTGTGTCATTATCACAACTGGGGAGACAAAGGTGGCCGAGGTGTGATGTTGGCCACCCACCCCCTCGTGTGCAGTGCCAGCCTTCTTAGGTGCTCGCTGAAGTCACGTGCCCAAAAAGTGTGTTCGGGCTAGGATGGGGAGGATCGTTGTTTTTGTTTGACTACCCTCATTTGCAATGGCTGTCCATGAAAAATACCCATACGTGGCGACGCTCATGGAATTTGCTCACGTGTACACACACAGATCCATGCCGATAAGTTCGCGATTACATTTTGGGTACCGCCACATGCCGTGTGCGATCCAACAACCCTCGCCTCCAAACCGTTGTCCTCATTGATCTGAGGTTATGTTGCCAAAGAATAGCTGTCACGTTAGCTAATTTGAATGCTAAACTTTCAACACACATATTGTATGTCAGCTTGGCAGAGGATCTAACACATTAATAAGGAGCTCTCTAAAGCTCGTCACCGTGGCGTGCGCGATGACCACCACAACCACGTGACTTTTCTTTCGTGCTGTGCGCGGTGCTGTTTAGCGCCACAGCGCGTGGATTTGTAGCGTTTATTTTAATTTGTTTGCTGGTGACTTTGTGAATTTCATATCGAAATCGCCTCCAGTGCTTTTGCTGCTGGCGGCAATTAAAGTTGTTTAAAAGTCAAGTCTAAAGCCCTCTCTAATCGAGGCCCTTCCACCAGCAGTAGCTTGAGCAATTAATTTGAAGTGATCTGGCGTTGCCACCTCTTATATTCTAAAGGTAGCATACAAATAGATTTACAACATGGCAAATGTTGCAATCACAGCACGATTCAATGGGGAAAAAATAATTAGGTCGTTTCACATCCGAAAAGGTCTCTGTGTTGGATTGAAACTTTTATGAGGCGTGATGATGTCTCGTAAAGCGATTACAGCATGAAACTTAAGCCACTTCGCGTTCTATTTTAAGTCTCGAACATCTGTGTTTGTAGAAAAATATATACGATAATTTTCCAGGCAATCGCAGTTTGAAATTCTGCCAGAAAGAATTTGTGCGCTGTGGGGAATTAACTTTAGTTTTGAAATCGTTACAGCGGGAATTTGGCCCAATATCAGAATTCAAGTTCCACGAACGGCCCCGTTGTGTTGCATGTGTGTCCAACTCTCGTTCATGGAATAGACTCCTTCAAAAAGGGGCCTCGAGACTCGGTGGAGATTTCCTGGGGGGAATAAGGGCATCGTTATTAATCCTATCATGGGACCTTGTTTCCAGTATCAAAGTATCAAAAACAATAATAGGTTTTACCCTTTCTGGCAATAAAACAGGAGGTGTCAAGATGCTCAAACACCAAATAGAAACCTTTTGCAAGGAATCGGGTCTGCATAAACCACACGTACTTGTGGTGAATATGCAAACAAAACATGCTCTGATAATATGCAGACTTGAGTCCTTGCAAAATGTATATATTTGGTGTTTGAACATCTTAACACCTGTTTTATTGCCAGAAAGTGTAAAACCCATTCATTTTGTTGTTATTATTCCTACTGTATTATTATCATCAGTTATTTTCCAGATTTCAATCTCATCAGAGAATCAAACTAAGTGTTTAAGTAACTCGAGCTTCTGTGTCCAAGATGCTGGCGTGTCCACTACAATTACCCCAATAAAATGAATAGGT